GGGTTCCAGCTCCGGTGGCGAAACATTGCATGAATGGGTCCTTCATTTGGTATAGCCCCCATATAACGGTACTTCCCGATATTCGGTATTTTAATTTTTTTGCCACATTTTTTCGCGGATTTGTCTAAAAATTGGTATTTGTTGGTCATAAGGGGTTCCAGCTCCGGTGGCGACACATTGCATGTATGGGTCCATGATTGGGTATAGCCCCTATATAACGGTGCCTCCCGATATTCGGTATTTTGATAATTTTTGCCACATTTTTCCACTGATTTGTCTAAAAATTGGTATATGTGGGACATAATGGGTCCTAGTTCGTGTGGCGAAACATTGTAATTATAGTTCCACGTTTTGGTATAGCCCCCATATAACGGTACCTCCCGATATTCGGTAATTGGATGATTTTTGCCACATTTTTTCGCGGATTTGTCTGAAAATTGGTATTTGTTGGTCATAATGGGTTCCAGCTCCGGTGGCGAAACATTGCATGTATGGATCCATGATTTGGTATAGCCTCCATATAACGGTACCTCCCGATATTCGGTATTTTGATGGTTTTAGCCACATTTTCACTGATTTGTCTAAAAATTCGTATTTGTGGGTCATAATGGGTCCTAGTTCGTGTGGTGAAACATTGTAATTATAGGTCCACGTTTTGGTATAGCCCCCATATAAAGGTACCTCCCGATATTCGGCATTTTAATGGTTTTTGCCACATTTCTTCTAATAGTTCCTTTACCCTAAGGTGGAGGGTATAAAAAGCCCGGCCAACTTAATGTTTTATTACTTGTTAAGATTTTAACAAAATTTGTAACGGTTTTTTTTTGGAAATTTTTTTACTGCTTTTTAACTTGTTTGGTCTTCTTTTGGCACGTTAGGATATTCGGGAAATTTCTTTTTGAATTTACGAGTTTGTAATTTTTTTAGTATTTCGATGAAGGTTAACTCTCATCCTTTTTAGATAATTTGAATAACAGCTTGAGTTTTCAATGTTACACAAAAATTATCGTTGTATTACGTGTATAAGATGTGAGGTAAACCGAAGTAGACCCATATCTGAGCACAATGTTTGGACAGGAACTGAGGCTTCCAATGCATAATTAAGTTTATTATTGAAACATGAGATACGATCACAAACGGTACCTTCACAGACCAAAAAAATATTGGATAATGTAGTACTCAGCGGATCCACATTTGCCTTTCTAAAGTTTAATTTTCGAGTTTTTGGGAAATGAAACGTTTTTACACTTGGAATATTTTTAGATTCAAGGCTTACCGAAAGAGTAGGATGGTTTAAATCCTCAGGTTCGGAGAAGGGGTATTCTACATACAGAAGAGTTTGTAGTTCTTTCCCAGATCTAATTAGCATTATTTTCATCTCGGTTAAACAGGTAAATTAAAGTATCCTAAACAAATCATATCAGAATTTGATGAGTGATGGAATGATATTTCTTTTATTAGTTCAGATTGTTTAAGATAAATATTTAAATTTGAAGTTAGAGCTATGTATGAGCACGTTAAAATAAAAATATTCTTAAGATAATTTACTTAAACACTATAAAATTCTAGATTTGGATATTCTGTAAGCATCTCTCTGATGCTCTCTAAGTCGACAGAATTGGGGAGAGCAATGAATACTCACCCACCTACTTCTTTCACCCTATCTTTCATGTAAATTTATTTTAAGTAATTAGATTTACTATTTATAGTTGCATCTAAATATAAAATACTTTTTGTGCGCAACTACAACTAGTTCATTATTGGAACATGAGAATAAACAATTATTATTGGTACAATTGGAGTTTGAGGAATTATAGGAACGACTTCAGAAGATGGAGTTTCAATCGTTGAGCTTTTCTTAGGACTCGGAACCAGATGGCTTCCGACGGCAAGGATTCAGCAGCATTGCGTAGCGGAACCACAACACGTGAGTATAGGGACACCAGAAACAATAGCTTCGAATTTCTGAAATGGAAAAACAACACCAAACTCCTTCTCCATGGCAGTTAATTTCCTTAGAACTTTAAATTGTTTCTACGCACAGCGATTTCCTCTTGAGAAATCTATCCAAATAGACTTGACTGTAGAAAACATATGGTATCTTACTATAATAACCGATTTTCCCCTTTTGTTTTTTCTGAATATTATTACATAAATTAAAACTCGGTGCAACTTATTTATTTTAAAATTCTCAGAAGAATTTCTTATTCATTATTTTGCCTATATATGGCCCGTTCTTATATCTTTCCTTTATTTTTTTTAAAGAGATATGGAGAGCTTTTTATAAAAGTAACTGGTAACTCTGCATTTTTTTTCATAATGACATTTTCTTTTTGTTTTAAACCAATAAACAAGACGAATTAATTTCGTAAAATAAATCTATAATTCAGTTCTTCAATATAAAATAAAAAATTACCGTTATTCATTTTTTATTTAAATAAATTTTGCTTTTATTGTCATATTATCAATATAAAATATGGCAACATGAATTCAGTAAACGTTACGTTAAAAGATAAAGGGAAGATCTCTGACCTTTTGCTTATCGGACAGTTCATATTTTGGCACATTCGACCGAATTTAGTCTGGAAGCTAATACGGTTCATATAGTGGTGAAAATCGGCTTAAAACAGTTATAACTCTAATAATAGATTTCACCCGATTTTAATTTAAATATTATCCAAATCATAGCAAGCCCTCTATAGCGAAGATAACATAAAAAACCTTTACATTTAGTACAAATCAATTAAAATTAAAATATAGCTTCCATATATTGGATAGATCCGACATCCAATGGAACCCGTTCTAACGCAATAAAGCAATCAAAACTCTCATAGTTGATAATATCAAATTAAATATATTTTTAATGTTAACGTTTTTTGTTACAGGTAGCTTTACTTTATATGCATAGTGGTGCAGGGTTTTAATTTTGTGGGGGTTAATCTTGTGTGTTTAAATACACCTTTAGTAGAAACGAGCAATGAAACCGTCACACGCTGCTCGAATGTTGCTCTGCGGTATTTCGGCCCATTCCCGGCGAAACGCTTGCTTGAGGTGATCGACACTTTGGTATTTTTTAGTGCCAACCTTGCTTTCCATTCCATATAGTGCGCTGGAAATGAAACGAGGAACATTCTTGTAACCATTCTTGGGTGGCGGGTGCTGAATGCGATGGTGCAGACTCCTGTTGGAATGTCCAAGGTCTGCGGCGAAAATGATTGCGAGCCCAAGGCTTTAATAAACCCTCCAGAATATTTTCGCGATTAATACGAGCGGAGAGCGACCATCGCCATAACGGCCCACACCATCACCATGTCCGTCGTTTGAGTTCTGGTGGCCAACCGAAGGTGCACATTTTCAGCTGACCTCTTTGACAAGTAAACACGATCATTTTGTTTGTTTACAAACTGCGGGATAGCGAATGTTTTCTTATCGGAGACAACCAAATTAGACAGTTCACCACTTTCGGCCAAACGAAGCAACTCTTTAGCTCTGTTAAGTCTGTTTTCTTTCCGTTGCGGTGTAAGTTCCTACACATTTTGGAATTTCAATGGCTTTACCCCTAGCTCATTTTTCAATATTTGCTGAATGGAATATTGCGATATGTTCACCTCACCTTTCGTTCAAGTCGCTTCTTTACTTTTCGAACCATTTCTGCTGATGTTGCTGTTTTCTTCCGCCCACTTCCTTGACGTCGGGCTACCCTACCCGTGTCACGGTAACAAGCGATGGTACAAGACAGAAAAGATTTATTCACATTTAAATGATAGAGTACTCTAACTTGTGGGTTTTCAGCCAAATATAAAGAAATCTCACTATCACGCTTGAATTCCATCACAAACATTGTAATGAGCTATCACTGGAATAATTTTAACAGCTGTCGGATGAGTGCCTTAGAAATGACAGCAGTCTGAAGTTGGTTGTAGTTTTTTCATCCCACCCTGTATTATAAAGACAACCGATGTAGATTTATAAGCTTTCATTGACATTGGTGACCTTCTGCAAGAGAAATAATGCATCTTCCAATGTATTATCATGAGCTAATAAAGTTTTAAGTTTTTTTGTTATTGTTTGAATGTAAAATATAAACAACGCCTTGACTGCAACAATTGCGACTTTGGAGTGTATGGCAATACTAATGCCGTATAAATGCTGTATGCAGATATGGTTGTATGCAGTTTTCACAACGCTAGTATGTAGATTCCATTTTGTATGGTAAATCTGGTTGAATAAATCCAGATTAAGCCATTAATCCGAATGAAATTCTGTATCTAAACGCGCTATTACACATATGTGCTTACATGGCGTTTTCAAACTGCCTGCAATTACAACCCTTAATTACTAATACATAAGCATTTTTTTCATTTACCTCGGGACTGTATGTACAGTGCATGAAGAAAGACATTACATCCACCCATGGTACAATAAAAAGGTAAGGTAGAGCCCCCAGCTGATTACAATTTGTTTCTAAGTGTGCTCGACTACTGCCAATTTTGTGTATGTATTTGTTGTTTTGAAAAATAAAAACAAAATATTTTCAAGCGCGCATTAATAATATTAACTAGATTTGCCATGGAAATGAATGATTGAACACTTAGGATCATATTTCTGAGAGAAGACCCGGGTATTTCATTCATCTTTCGCGCTATTTGACTCATCATAGAAATCCAGCTATTTCTTTTGAGTACGTAAGTTTCTTAGATTTTAAGGTGCAACTACATAAAGCGTTTTTTTACTGGCTTAAAGAAGGAGTCAGCCGAGAATAATAAAAGTGAGAATACATAAAACATTTTTTCGACAGGCTTGAGGCATCGACTGGCTTCCTCGTAGACGAACAAAGGAGTAATAGATTGAAACAAAACGAGGTAGTCAAAAATATGTATTCTCACTTTTATTATTCTCGGCTGACTCCTTCTTTAAGCCAGTAAAAAAACGCTTTATGTACATGCACCTTAAAATCTAAGACTTTCTGCTCTAAAGCTACTTTGTATCAGGATTTGTACATGGTCATTCGAAGCTTTTCTTAAAAAAGAATCGGCTGATTTGCAAGAAAAACGATTCAATTTTACAATTTTAATTTTGCGCTAGATTAATTTTAAAGAGAAAACACTTCTTTGTAAGGGTATTTGTTGTTGTTTAACACAATTGAAATCAACACATACACTAACATCGTAAAAAATATCTCTCTTGTTAAAAAAACGCTTATTATAATTACCTCCGAATGACGTAGTATACGAAAATATATAAAAATCTATTTATTCCATATTCCTCCACCGGAGCTAGAACCCATTTTGAACTAAAATACACAATTTTTAGACAATTCCATGGATAAATTTGGCTAAATCGTCAAAATACCGAATATGGGGAGGTGCCGTTATATGGGGGTTATACAAAACCGTTGACCTATACATACAATGTTTCGCCACCGGAGCTAGAATCCATTATTAATTACGAATACCAATTTTTAGACAAATCCGTTTAATATATACATGTGATGAAACTTTGACCCTTTGGGAACAATTGCTTAAATCACATTCAGAGTTACTCAAATGGTCGAAAATAGAAAACTTCCTAAAAACAGATATCAAGTCCCAGAAAGAGTATATTGTCATAGAAATGAAGCAACTTCATTTGCTTATATCCGCAATCGATACTATCGAATAGATGTGTTATGTGTAATAAAAATCACATATTCAAAAATTGTTCAAGATTCAATAACATGAGTGTCAGTCCGAGAGAAACAAAGTTTATGTAATAACTGTTTCAAGAGTGGGCATAACACACGGGAATGCTTCAGTGCGCACAGATGTTTATATTGTAAGAAAAAACATCACACAAAATATGCAGAAACGCAGAAACTCTATCAAGGGATCCTACATCATCGATAATATATCGTAGAACTTCAGATGCCAATATTAAAACAATAATCCATGTCACCACAGATAATATGACGTGTATCCCAAATCCCATTAGAGCTAATGCACAAACTAATTTATCAAATAGTGATGATGATGTTTGCTTACCAACTGTGTTTATAAAAATAAAGTACAATGGTAAAACGTTCACAGTAAGAGCTTTGTCAGATACGGGATCTTAACGACCATTTATAACAAGCATATACCACTAAATGGAATTGGGAGTGGAAAAAGTGAATATAATTTCAATATTAGCGGAATAAATGGTTCAGTAGTTGCATATACAAATAAAATGTGCAACATAACTTTGTGTGGAAATGAAAACAATATGGTAGAAGTACACGCTTTAGTTATTAACAAGTTAAAAAGCAGTAAGTTCGGCCGGGCCGAACTTTGAATACCCTCCACCATTTGGAACCAATTTGGAAATCTTCAAAAAATAAAGTCCTTTAAAAATTCTCCTAAAATTTTTAGAATACCGAATATAGCCGTTATATTGGGGTCTGTACGACGTGGACCTACAAAGGCATTGTTTGTCATAAGCCATTACCGTATTCAAATTCGATAACTTGAAATATACGGTGAATTATGTAGCTAAAATCATCAAAATATCGTATATAGGGAGGTACCGTTATATCGGAGCTGTGTGAAGACCTGGACCAGCCAGGACAATTTTCTGTCAGAGGCTGTAACATCCATTACGAACTTCAGATACCAAATTTCCGCTGAATAATGTCGCTAAGATCATCAAAATACCGAATATAGGGAGGTATATACTGATATATGGGGGCTATACGAAGACGTGGACCTGCACAGTAATTTTGCTGTCTTAGGCTGTACTGTTCTTTTGGAAAATCATCAAAATGCCGAATATAGGGAGGTACAGTTATATGGGGTTTATACGAAGATGGGGACCAGCACAGACAATTTTCTGTCTTAGGCTGTAGTATCCATTACGAACTTCAAATACCAAATTTGAAACAATTCCGGTGAATAATGAAGCTAAAATCATCAAAATGCCGAATATTGGGAGGTACCGTTATATGGGGGCTATACGAAGACGTAGACCTGTACAGACAATTTTCTGTCTTAGGCGGTGGTATCCATTTCGAACTTTAAATACTAAGTTTGAAACAATTCTGGTTAATAATTTCGCTAAAATCATCAAAATACCGAATATAGGGAGGTACCGTTATATGGGAGCTATACGAAGACGTGGACCTGCACAGACAATTTTCTGTCTTAGGCTGCAGTATTTATTTCGAACTTCAAATACCTAATTTGAAACAATTCCCGTGAATAATGTAAAATCATCAAAATACCGAATATCGGGAGGTACCTTTATATGGGGGCTATATGAAAACGTGGACCTACATGGCCCATTTACGAACTTAACCTTCCTACTGACAAAATAAACATGTGTGCAAAATTTAGCCTTCTATCTCAATTCGTTCGAAAGATAGCGTGATTACAACAGACAGACAGATGGGCATCGATAAATCCACTTAGAATTTTACGCTGATCAAGAATATATATACTTCGTTGGGTCTGACATGAGTACTTCGAGGAGTTAAAAACGGAATGACAAACTTAATATACCCTTCATTGTATGGTGGAGGGTATAAAAATAGTTAAAACGAATCTTGTGTCACATGCACATTAAGTGGTAGTTAGGTAATCGCAAATCAACCGCTTGAGGAGCTTGTTGTATTTTTTAAGAAAAAAGTCACTAGAGGTGAAAAGAAAGTTTAAACTGTATAAAGAAATATACTAAAATTGTTCACTAGAGGTGGATGACTGATAATAAATTATAGTAAATGATTTTTACGACATATAAATAAGTCGCTAGAAGTGACCAGCGTTCGAAAATAAACAGTACACAATACAGTATCACGAAACAAATTTTTAGGGTTAGTTTACCGGTACGCTACCACTAAAAAATATATTTAGAGTACCGCAATCGGAGCGCTAAAATGCGGAGCACTAAAAAAGCGTAGTGTTCCGCAATCGGAGCATTAAACCACATGCACCACATTAAAAAATGTACTGGCATCAATGTGCTTTTTATGATTTGGAAAAAAATATTTGATGTTTGTTTTTTTTGGTATTGTTGCGAACTTAGAAGACCTTTCAGTTAATTTAAAAGTTTAAATTTATTAACGTTCGTTTTTTGATTTATAATTTTGATGTGTTTGTTACGTACAATTTGTTTTGTATCATTCAGTTTTAATTGAGATCAATTTTTATTCATAATGTGTAAACGTTCCATAATTTGTTTATTATCGTCTTTTAAGACGTGTTCAGTAATCCTTTCATTATAATTTATCGTTTTGTATTTTCTCACAATGACTTCAGCAAGTCATTCCAGGAGAAACCGTCGAGAGCGAAAGAATTAAGTAAGAACAACCTTTGTACCTTTGTTCCTTTTTTGATTATGTAATCATTTCGATTTACTTTTATTTTAATTTCTATTATCTTAGATAATAAAACCCCCTCCAAAAAATAACTCAAATAAACACAAACAAATGCCAACCAAACAAACACGATAATATATCACAAATAAAGAGAATTTGTAATCGAATAAAAACCAGAGGTTTTATTTCAAACGACGAGTTGGTGTTTTATTATAATTTTTCAGCCAGAAATAGTTTGCCATTTTCAGAGTGGAAATTTATTTTACATGTTACAGCCGTAACATTATTTTTATTATTTAATTCTCCTGGAACAAGTTTATGGTACGTCGTAGCCAACGACTCAAATTAAAGATGTCTCAAGGTAATGAGAATGCAATAAAGCCGCTGCCTGAAAATGTAACAGCGTCAGCCTCGTCGTCTGAGAGTGACCACGAGAAAACAATTATGGAGCTGCACGAGAATACAGCGAGTGATAACGTGGAAAGCCTGAAAGAATGCCGCAAATACATCGACAAGTGTTGCTGTCACGCAACCGCCAAATTTTAATCAAAATGCAGTAGCTGCGCCGTCTACTACAATGTATTACAGTGTTGCGTCAATGCCTAGCCGAACGGTTGAAGTGCCGTATACCGCGACGGCACAAAAGTTAAGTATCGAACATCAACACATGTTTAGCCAAAACATGAATTCGCCGCAATTTTTTAACCCTTTCTTTCCACAGCCGCTTGTACAACAACAAACATACTGTCCACCATCATAGGAACCAATACAACAACAATTGCATTACATGCCGTTTTTCACACCACAAAGTGCTTCAAATAATTTGCGACCGTCACCTTTACCAGTTACGCCTATGGTATCTTGCGCGACGTACGGAACGCCTTTATTTAATGATGCGCAAATGTCTTCATCAAACTATCAACAATCACAGAGATTGTTGACAGCGACGCCGTCAACCACTATCAAAACAACATCACAGCCAAATGTTGGACTGCAATCACAACAAAATAATTTGAGTGAAGCAACAGATAATTCTGTGCCGCAACTAAATCCATCACAGCAGCAGAGTACATCGATAAAGCCAACGTTTTCACAACCACAAACGTCGAATTTTGCAGCGACACAAAACGCCGGTAATGCTGGTAATGTTGACAATTTGTTATTGCCAGTGCCACAACAAATTTTGCCCTCAAGTTTGCAAAATTCAATCCGAAAATTACATGATTTACCGGAATTTAATGGACAACCGGAACAGTGGCCAATGTTTGCCGTTTCATTTAAAGAAACAACACGTATGTACAATTATACAAAGCTAGAAAATTTAACACGGTTGCAGAAAGCCCTCAAAGGAGAAGCCATGGCCAAAGTGGAGGCATATTTAATACACCCTGAAAGCGTAGATCAGGTGATGTCAACGTTGGAATTCCATTTTGGACGTCCGCAGATAATGATTCGATCCCAAATAGCCAAGGTACGATCATTTCCTACAATTTCTGGTAAGAAAATGTTCGAAATAGTAAATTATAGTACGATGGTGTCGAATCTTACCGTTTTTTTGGAAAATGCAGGGGCAACGCCGCTTTTGTGTAATCTAACGTTGCTAGAAGAATTGGTCAACAAGTTGCCACTTTCAAAACGAGAAGAATGGGCAAAATATTCCTTGAATTTTTTGGGGCAATACCCAACAATACGCCAGTTTAGTACATGGCTCCAAGAAGTTGCCACATACATTTCCTTTGCCACAGAAAATGATTCCACTGAAGTCGATGGTATGCAGAATGCAAAAGTGAAACAGTCTTTTGCAATAACAACGGATGACAACCGGAGGAATTCGTGCGTGGCTTGTGGGCAAAACCACATAATATATTATTGCAATAAATTCAAGAATTTATTCACAGATGACAGGTGGAAAATGGTGAAGGAGAAACGCTTGTGTTTTACGTGTTTGAGAGCAGATCACATTTCCCAAAAATGTAGTAACCGCCAGCAATGTTGTGGGTGGTTGTCAAAGATACCACAATCGTTTGCTACACAAAGGTAGCAAAAATAACAACATAAACGAACATCGAAATAATAATATGGGAAATGGCGAAATACAAACATCAGCTGTAACAACAACAATAGTGGATGTTTGTTCAAAGAAAAAAAAACATTTAAATATTTGCCGGTGAAATTAAAAGGCCCGAAAGGCCATGTAAGCATAATTGCGTTTATTGACGATGGGTCAAAAATTTCTTTGTTGGAGGAAAAGGTTGCCAAGCAGATTGGATTGAGTGGACCATCCAGTAATTTGTCACTAGGCTGGATTGGTGGGAAAAAATCAAGTGAAATGTCTATGAGAATTGATGTGGAAATTGGAAGTAAGAACGGGGAGTATTTGCAGATGAAAAATGTTAGAACTACAAACCATTTAAAATTACCACAACAATCTCTAAATATTTCAGATATTAAAAAACGTTTTTCTATTTTAAAAAATTTTGATATTGATGATTATTTGGATGCGACACCTATGCTGTTAATTGGATTACCCCACATTAGATTGGTTCGACCACAAAACGTAATGGATCTTGATGAACATTTTTCCGTGCACCAAACGCCCTTGGGCAACATTTTATTCGGCTCCAAGGAGGAGTCAGCTGACAATATGGTTTGTGTGATTGATGTTGACGAATATAATGATATTCAGAAGCAAGTTGCTGAATATTTTAATATTTTAAAAATAAAATTGGTAACCAATATGAAACTGGTCTTTTGTGGCATAAAGATGATTATGAATTTAAGGATACGTATTCGGCGGCGCTCAGACGTCTTCAAGGAATCGAAGCAAAAATTAAAAAAGATGAATCACTAGCTAAATGGTATAATGAGAAAATTGATGAATATGTTTCAAAGGGCTACGCCAGAAAATTAAGTACAGATGAAGCTTCTTTTGTGAATGAGCACAATTGGTATCTCCCACATTTTGTTGTGACGAATGAAAACAAAAATAGTAAGCGAAGATTGGTTTTTGATGCTGCGGCAAAAGTTGATGGAGAGTCTTTTAATTCGAGACTGATGAAAGGTCCATGTAAATATCAACCGAAACCACTTCTTTCCATTTTGTTTAAATTTCGTCAACGTAAAATTGGTATATGTGGGGACATACGCGAAATGTTCCACAGAGTTAATATCCGATATCAAGACCAAACAGCGCAAAGGTTTTTATGGCGAGGAGGCGACAGTACAAGATCACCAGACATCTATATTATGAGTGCAATGATTTTTGGATCAGCGTGTTCACCCTGTTGTGCACAATATGTCAAAAACTTAAACGCTGAATATTATTCAAATTTTGAGCCCAGAGCACATAAAGCCATTGTGGACTGTCATCACGTCGACGATTTTGTTGACAGTTTTGACACAATTGTTGAAGCGTTATCTGTCACCAGGAGTGTGATTCGAATACATAAAGAGGCAAATTTTGAACTTCGAGGTTTTATATCAAACTCAGCGGATCTTTTGGATTCGCTCGAACCGGATGAAAATGGAAATAAAATGGATTTTAAAAACTTTTGTGGTAGCGAAAGTACTGGTGAGAAGGTCTTAGGACTATTCTGGTCACCCAAAACTGATTCTTTTTATTTTAATTTGAAATTTTCAAAACTTCCTTCTGCAGTTCGAGACGGTCAACGAATTCCAACGAAGAGCGAGGTGCTAAGTGTAACCATGTCCATTTTTGATCCATTTGGTTTTTTGGCTAACGTTGTAATCCGGTCAAAACTCATCCTACAAGAATTATGGAAATTTTATATAGATTGGAATGCGCCAATTTCAACTGAAACGTATCGCAGATGGTACGATTGGTTTACTGAGTTGGAGAATGTGAAGTATATTGAAATTCCAAGATGTTATGCGGCAAATTTCACAAGCCCTGGCACAATAATTGATCTCCATGTATTCGTAGACGCTAGTGAAGTTGCGTTTGCTGCTGTCTGTTATTGGCGCATCACATGTGGAGACCAGGTGGAAATAAAATTTGTAGCTGGAAAGGTTAAATGTGCACCACTTAAGCCCCTGTCAATACCTAGGCTTGAACTCCAGTCTGCTGTTTTGGGAGTGCGTTTGAAGGAAGCCATAGTGACCAGCCATGACATAAAGCCCAATAAAATAACATTCTGGTCAGACTCGAAGACTGTAGTCAGGTGGATTCAATCTGACTGCAGAATTTATAAACAATTTGTTTCACATCGCATTGCAGAAATTTTAGAACATTCAACTGTGGAAGAATGGAGATGGATTCCCGGGTCACAAAATCCTGCGGATGATGCAACGAGACCACATCAATTTTCCGGTAAGGTGTCAAGGTTAATTGGCCACGTCTTCCAGAGGAAATTAAACAGGTTGGAAAAGATCCAGAAATTCGAACAAAATTCCTAGCAACTACTACGGTGAGTGATCCTCTCTTTCCATATGATGAAAAAACCAAATATTACAGCTTGCTGCGCAAAACGTCTTGGTTATTTAGAGCAATTAATAATTTTAAAAGGATTATTTCTTCGGAAGGCAAAACTTCTTTAAACTCAAAACCGTACTTAATTCCCGATGAGGTAACAAATTCAGAAATTTATTGGTGTAAATGGGCACAAGATGAAGAGTTTCAAAGAGAAATCCAAGCTTTAAAAATTGGTCGTCGTGTTTCAAAAAAGAGCCCAATATTCAAATTAAATCCATGTTTAGCAGATGATGGTTTAATAAGAATTTCTGGACGTATTAATAACGCAGCCTGTATTGGACCGTCCACCAGAAACTCAATAATCATGCCAAAAAATAATTTGATTACAAAATTGATCGTCAAGCAGTATCACGAAGATTTTCTTCACCAAAATCAAGAATCCATATGTGCAGCAATTCGAACCAAGTTTTGGATACCATGTTTAAGACAACTGGTAAGAAGTTCCAAGAAAAATTTTCAAGTTTGTAAAAACCGTAGCGCAGTTCCAAAGCCTCCTTTAATGGGTCAACTTCCTGAAGACCGTGTCATACCATTTGTGAGAGCATTCACGTATACTGGCGTTGATTTTATTGGCCCTTATACAGTTTCTTTGGGAAGACGAAGTGAAAAGAGATGGGTCGCACTTTTCACTTGTCTAACTACAAGAGCCATCCATCTTGAGCTTGCGAAAGATTTATCAACAGATGCTGCCATTCTTTGCTTAAGAAATTTTATAAATAGGAGAGGAGTTCCTGTGCGTATTAGGAGCGACAGAGGTACCAATTTTATTGGAGCCAGTACAGAAAAATTTGTTTTTGATTCTGGTAAAATTGGCGATGAATGTACACGGCGTGGTATTGAGTGGGTATTCAATAATCCAGCGGACCCCTCAGCTGGTGGAGCATGGGAGAGGATGGTGCGTGCGGTAAAAAATGTGTTGGCTTTCACTTTGAAAGAAAAGTCAACCCAAATGGAAACGCTAAATAGTTTACTCTTTGAAGCAGAAAATTTGGTAAATTCTCGTCCTTTAACTCATCTACCTATTGAGAGTGAAGACAGCGAACCTCTTACCCCAAACCATTTCTTGGTTGGTGGGCCTAATTTTATTCAAACACCTACAGTAAATGAAAACATCTGTTTACGGAAGCAGTGGCACATCTTGCAGCAAATTAAGCAAACGTTTTGGAAAAGGTGGGTACAAGAATATCTTCCGGATTTAGTACGACGGACAAAGTGGTTTTATCCTGTACCACCAATAAAAGTTGGAGATGTTGTCGTTATATGTGATAGCAATGTGGCGCGTGGTGAGTGGAAGCGAGGAGTGGTGGTGGAAGTATGTACAGCGGCTGATGGTCAAGTTCGTTCGGCAGTGGTAAAAACATCGGCAGGCAAGTTTCGTCGTCCGGCATCAAAGTTAGCAGTCCTGGATGTTTGTGGTGAATCTCCAGATCGATTCACGGGCGGCGGGATGTTGCGAACTTAGAAGACCTTTCAGTTAATTTAAAAGTTTAAATTCATTAACGTTCGTTTTTTGATTTATAATTTTGATGTTTTTGTTACGTACAATTTGTTTTGTATCATTCAGTTTTAATTGAGATCAATTTTTATTCATAATGTGTAAACGTTCCATAATTTGTTTATTATCGTCTTTTAAGGCGTGTTCAGTAATCCTTTCATTATAATTTATCGTTTTGTATTTTCTCACAATGACTTCAGCAAGTCATTCCAGGAGAAACCGTCGAGAGCGAAAGAATTAAGTAAGAACAACCTTTGTACCTTTGTTCCTTTTTTGATTATGTAATCATTTCGATTTACTTTTAATTTTAATTTCTATTATCTTAGATAATAAAACCCCCTCCAAAAAATAACTTAAATAAACACAAACAAATGCCAACCAAACAAACACGATAATATATCACAAATAAAGAGAATTTGTAATCGAATAAAAACCAGAGGTTTTATTTCAAACGACGAGTTGGTGTTTTATTATAATTCTTCAGCCAGAAATATTAGTTGGCCATTTTCAGAGTGGAAATTTATTTTACATGTTACAGCCGTAACAGGTATTATAGCATTGATAATGAATAAAATGTTTATAATGAAAGAAATTAAAGATTGTAAATTTATCTAATTGAACATCCTATCCGACTTCGCTAATTTATACAAAATTCGATATGAGAATCACTGTTTGCATAAGTGGAAATTAAAGAAGAAATAATATTTAATTATAGTCTAGAAATAGTATTTAATTTTTATTACATAAATGTATTTTTAATATACAGATTTAATTAATTAAATAAGTTAAATATAATGAACATAGAAAATAATAAACGTAGAAAATAAAAAAAATAAGGAAAATGCAATAAATTAAAAATATAACTGCACCACTAAGAACTTTAAGCTGATCCTAACTGGTAATTAAAGATTCCATTGGCTTTCACACAATTTTGTATTTTCATTGCGCATTTTTATTCTATATAGTTTGCATATTGCTCAGGATGTGATCACTCGAAATGTCTTTCTATATTTCCGGAATGTACACTTAAAATCTTGTTATTACAAATTTGCAGATTACACACAACTTCGCTAACGTTTGATTCATTTGTATTGGACATATCTAAAGGAATATTTTTAGGTCGCATTTTTATAATTATTCACCGAACGTTTGACAAGAATGCCAATGCCTATCACATTTAGGCAATAAAGGAATTGTATTAATAAATAAAACATAAAGTCAGACTGCCAGAGTCATTAAAACAAGTGTTTTATTTAAACCTAAACCACCAGTACCTTATTCGCAACGCGTAAGTATCGCCTGTATACTTGTTGTGTTATTTAATATTCATATTTATTGAGGTTCGACCTTGTGCAACATATACATTCGGCTCTAAAGCTACTCTGTAGAACCCTTACAAGTCCATACGCCTGTATCAGAACTTGTATAATCGTAGACGATATCTTGTCTATTTTCAATACATATACAATTACAGACAAGTGAACCCAGTGGTTCTAAGTGATCCCTTGTCACTTTTCAATACATCTACAATTACTTCCAGGGAGAGCCAACCTACAACAACTCCGCCCGTTGACATCTGCACTCAACGGTCTTCACCGAGCGAAATTGACGAGGAGATACCCGTGGTGCAAATCAGCAACGATATCATAAAGGAAAAACCAGTTATCGTAGTAACATGTTTACATTTTAAGTGCAAATACATAAACACCTGTTTTATAGGCTTAAGCTATAGGCCGGCTTATTCGTAAAATAAATTTATTTTTGAAAGTTCTTCTGTTTGACATTCTTCAATAGTTAATATATCTTATCTATGGGCAAAGGAAAGGATAAAGTTCACATAATCGTGGTTTCATTATTACATCTGTCTTTTAAAATAAATTATTATTTTTTTTTTCGGAGATATGGCAAGCTTTTCTTTTTTTCAAAAGTTTATGTGGCGTTTCCACTGCACTTGATTCGCTCTCTATTCGTTGTTTGACCCTTAACTATGAAAAAACTACCTAATTCTTCACACAAAATTTCCTGAGCGAACACTCATATTTGTACGTTGTTCAATTCAAATCACTCTCAGAACAACGAAAAAATATGTCCCATCCCTAACAAATGAGAGCATTTATCGAAAAAATAAATTATGACATTTAAAATTAAAAATAGAAAAATTTAATGAAAATTTAAAAATTTTTGGGAAGACTGAAAATTATGTATGAAAACTACAATGTTGAATGGCGTATGTACATTCAAACGAAAGTAACGCTTAACCAACGGCGAAACGCGTCGCATAGTGGTGAGTGTGTGATAGTGTCTATCTGGCTTTCCTTTTCACTGCAAATTTCAGATCATTAAGCTCGTTTTGAAAGAGAAAACAAACACATAAATCATAAAACATATGATCTTCGCCTTAACAAGGCAAAACTCGAAAGTAAATTTTGTTTTCTCTCTCATTCGAAGTACGCATTTGGTCCACGAGATGAAATTTCCACAGAAAACTGCAAACAAAAGAGGCAATATTTTCAAAATGTTTCTATTGGCAGAAAAAATGTTTGACAAGTGTCTCTCCAGTAGAATTTAAAAATGGAAAAACACAAAAATATGTTCAAAATGTCAAGATTTACACAAAAAGTTGAAAACGTGAATGAAAATTATAAAATTATTGATATAATACATATTTGGGAGAAAAACAATCATTTCTTTTATTCATATTAGTGAGAATTTAATGTATTTTAGTATAAATTCCCATTAAAATCAAGAAACAAAATTTTTGAAAAAAGGAATTATTTTACTATGAATTACGAATCGTGCCGTATGAACGGGTTAATTCGTGTACCTAATTCTGAGAGCGAACAACGTTGTTCGGTTTCCAATGGAAACATGCTATTACGCTCTATAGTTTAGTTTTGTTCTCGATATCATAAGAAAAAATAGCCTATTGTTGTAAAACCTTTTACAACTTTGCAGTTCTGGAACAGAGCTTTTGCAATTGTTTCGTTCTGTATGCAAAAAATGAAACAAACCCGACATAAATTGCTTTGTTCCAGTACCTGCAAGAATTTAATAGTTTTGCAATTTTTTCCGATATCATAATAGGAAAATCGGTTATCGTAGTAAAAACTGTTACATATGGTCTGTTGCAGAATTGCAGGAATGTGATAACCGATTTTCCCTCTATGATATCAAAGAAAATTGCAAAACTAGTAGATTCTTGATGTTCTGGTGCTATAATCGCAGAAGCTGGTGAACCCATTGGTAGTTTTGCGATTTTTTCCGATTTCATAAAGGGAAAATCAGTCATCGTAGTAAAAAATTTTGCACTGTTGCAGTTCATGTTTTTCGTCCTAGATGCCAATTTTTACATTTGAGTATATCGTAAAAGTTGCTTTGTTGTAGCAATTCGCCGATGCGGTTACCTGTCTTGGAGCAAATGCTGCGTTCAATTCCGAATGCATTAAATGATGTGGAAAATATCGATGTTGTTGATACCGTAATCGATAGTGTGTCAGCAATGATTTGTACGGCATCGGCGTTACTCGGCATAGACAAACGACTTTGTTGTGTCTTTATAGTGAAAATTCTCTTGTATTGAAAAATAGTAAAATATATTTTTTTAAAACACGCATTAAAAGTCATGAAATTCTTTCAATATACTGTATTGAGAAAGGCTTATAAGTGATATGGACCGGAACTTCGTACAAATTTTGATACAACAGTCCATTATGATAGCCATAGGAAACTCCTGGATGATTTTATTCTGAATTTGTACGTCTACGTTTTTTTTATTTTATATATGTAGATAATTTACGTTGGTACCTACCGTATACGTATATGTGAGACATATATACGAACTTTATATACCTATGTAACCATTGATATACACACGTCGTACATACGTATATATCGGCGAGCGATAACAATAGCATCTTCTTAATGGGCGTGATTTGTATATTCCTGTCTGATTGGAGTATCAAGCGTTTATTTAACCTTTGCAGACTTCACACGTGTTTTAAGGATATTGTTTAACTTGAAGTTTAGAGAAATATCGGAATATTAAGAATTAATTCGGTATGTCTATTTCTACAAAATACTATAGTGGAAGTGTGTTTAGTGGAAGTGCACATATAAACAAATTCGAGTATATATCTGACCACGGCTGTTTACATTATGGTTCTGTTTTTTGATGGCTGCAAGTATTGGCTCTGAACATACAGTGTAGATATAAAACTTATTCCGAGAATATTATTTTATTTATATTTGAATTAAATCGGTATATACAATAAGTAGTTTTTTCTTTGCTGTCCCTGAAACTCGTATTGTAAAATATTAATAATATACTCCTCTTTCTTTCTGTCGTAGATTTCTATTGAATACACAAGGCTAACAATGGACCCTTCAGTTAAAACTAAAGAAAATACCAATTCATCGGTAACCATCCCCGTTATAGCTGGAATTTGCAGTAGCGACAGTTTCTCAATGTTTCCATCACATCATCATGATTTGACAAGTACAAACAGTATTGAATTAAACGCGGCCGCATCATTGAGTGATGATTCTGGTGTTCCACTTACTACGAACAGTTCAATATCCAGCGGCGATTCTTACCGGCTGGGGTTATGCAAGTTCGACATTGAAGTATTAGTTATTTTTCAATTCAGAAACACATTATTTTAACTTATTTCTTTTTTTAAGATCGTGGAAAGTGATGGCGAGGTGTCCCAGTTCGATTCTTTGGACAATTGTTCAGAGGGTGGAATGAGTGCCGAAAATTTTAACACCCTAAAGAAGGGACCTTTAGCTCCAATAGATCCTCCGCCGGAATTTCAGGATTCCCCTCAAACAACACTGGTACGTTCAATGGCGAAGAATCCTGTGACCAGTTTGAGGCGGTGGACATCTTCACAGTCGTCATTTGAACATTTAAAGGACCACAGTAGTGCAGATACAACCAACTTAAACATTGCAGTAATCGCCAATTCCAATATGTGCGTCGAAAATGTCTTTGAAGCTGGGAATTACATGTTGAGTGATGATATTCCAGAGAAAGACATATACAATATCAACAAACATTTATACTCGAGTGATTCCATCTTGAACTCTCATAAGGACAACATATATGATGAACCAAACAACATGCTGAGTTCTTCGTTGGGCAACAGCGTGGATATATTGGATTCAGACTCACAATCTCAGTCAATTCCTCCTCCCCCGCCACCTGTGTCTATTGTTAAAATAAAACAAACATTATGCCCATATTTCCAAGATCACACTCGGTATTTTAAAGCTATACCATCGGAACAGGACAATATTACATCAGCAGTACAGCGATTCAATGTATCCGGTCTTTCTGAAATTCACGATTATGATCTCTACTATGGTATTAAACGTAACGGATATCAGCAGTACGACAACAGTCTACAAAGAAAAATTATATACAGCCCCTTAAGTAATTCTCATTATTGTCATAACCACGTTTATCATGGAGGTAAGAAAAATCATACATGATCCACAAAACAAAAGTAACAAATCTAGAATTATTAATGAATTTATATTTTGTATTTATCTCTACACACATGTGTTATTTTAAAATTTTATATAGTAATTGTTAAATTTTACGGTTTGAAGGAGGGAAAGGTAGCAACAACGCCTATGGGAAGGAACAAATTAAGTTTAGCTCCAGCTGGCCGAAAATTCTGAAAATTTTACAGAAGGTAGGTCTTGTTATCCAAATCACGGAGACATAAACTGTTTTTGGGGGAAAATCAATACTTCCCGAGATATAGGTTCCACAAATATCCCTGTTTTACTTAGCTATTTCTAAACCAATAATCGAAATAAAAACTGCAAAATGTCACTGCAGGTAGGTTTTTGGTTTTTAAAATTTTTTGAAGTAGCCGGCCTTCGACCGGGGCTTGAGATTTTCTTCGAACCAAAAGATTTTAAAGTATACGGCCTTCGGCCGGAGCTTGAGATTTTCTCCTCTAAGGTATGTCCAACACCGGCTTGGCGAACCAAAGCTTACTTAAATATAACCGAAAAAATATAGTTGGGTACTTTTTAAAATTTGGAATATTTCGGACAGTGTGGATCCATCTCCCGAAAATGTTTTGATGTTGCCTTTTTGGAACTTTGGAATCCTATGCCTCGGTAAGTATTGATTAGCACACCCCCCCCACACACAAAAAAGATATGTCGCTGTGATTAGGATAACAAGACATACCTTAAATAAAAAAAATCAGAATTTCAGCTAAT